AAAAATTGCCACCTTATTGTGGTAGAGGTTTATCCCTAATGATACCAGAGCAATTTGTCTCTGGTTGGGTTTCCCAAAGCAACCTGATTTCTCACCTGAGGTGAGGGCCAAACTAAGTACAATTCAGAAGATATCAATGGCATGGCAATGGCAGTTTGCTTGGATCAGGGTTACTGGGAGTCCCCTGGAATCAGACCTGGGGGAGAGTGCTGGTGACTAGGCCCTAACCCACAGGGCCCAGCTTGGCTCTGGTTGGTCCTGCACCCACCACCCACATGAGGAGCTGAAGCAGTATGGTGCAATGTGTCAAAGGTAGAGGTACTTAAGGTCTTTGTGACCACTTTACTAATTTTTGGGGGGATTTTGGTCTCTTTGTGGTCATTTTCTGTCTTTTTGAGTTGTAACTTTCCATCATGAAATATTAGTGGACCCAGGGGGACCTGGCAGTCCCATTCGGTAATGCATCTATTGAAGTGAAACATGTCGTTGTTATTCTAACAGTGATGATAACCTTACTTTGACTCCCAGAGCGCATTGCAGAGTCACAGCAGCACAAGTCTTTTGGATCAGAACAATGGGAACAGACAGCAAAAACAACAGCTGACAGTTGTAATGAGGGTCATTCCCATCCAGCCGCTGTAATGAAGACAGAGAGACATGTGTCAGCCTCCAAACCACCTCAGGCAAACACAGAGCACACAACTCCTAACTCAGGTAAAGTCACACTGATCCTTCTAAGAATAAGCCCAGCACTACAAGGCTAATTTCTAAATGTTCCAAATGAACACTGATACATAAAAAGACACTTCAGATTGTGTTAACTGCTGATTATGTTTTATAAAAATCTCAAGTACCTGCTGCAGGTATGGAGAACCATCACGCGGAAAGACAAGAAACATTGCCCCCTCCAGCTGTGGAGGAAAAAAGACCACCTGTTATCTCTGGCTCTGTTTCATCTCATAAGCCTGTCTCCAGAGTTGGTCCACCTGTTAACCCACCTGCCAACAACCCTGCTCCTCTCAGACCCTCACCAGATCGAACAGAGGAAGACAACAATGACTATGACTCAGATGATGCCAGTAAGATTATTCCTCAAAATTTAAAACCTTTATTTGTTGAAGACAAATGTATTATTACTTTTATTTTTTGCAACGTGTATGTGTGTGTGTTTCTTACAGCCACTCTAGGATCTCTGGAGTTCAGTCTACTCTATGAACAGGAGAACCATGCACTACACTGCGGTATTGTTAAAGCTAAGGTGAACGCTCATACACATGTATGAGTAGAAATGAGATAACACCACAAAATAAAAGATCAGTTAAAATAGGACAAGATAAGTAATTCGGGCGATGTGGTTCAGGAGGTTGGGAAGCTCATCTTGTAACTGGAAGGTTTCCGGTTTGATCCCCAGCTCTGTCTGTCTTGGTCGTTGTGTCCTTGGACAAGACACTTCACCTACCGCCTACTGGTGATGGCCAGAGGGGCCAATGGCGCGATATGGCAGCCTCGCTTCTGCCAGTCTGCCCCAGGGCAGCTGTGGCTACAACTGTAGCTGCCTCCACCAGTGTGTGAATGTGAGAGTGAATGAATAGTGGAATTGTAAAGCGCTTTGAGGGTCTCGAAAAGAGCTATATAAATGCAATCCATTATTAATGAAGATTGGAAATGATATAGTAATAATAATATTATACAGACAGATTAGACAAGATAAAATCTGTGTTTTGGCTCTCGGAGGAGGCGGACGCGCTTTTTCTCCTCTCCCTTATCTTCCCTGCTTAGTTCTTATGTCCTTGTCTAGTCTTGTGTTTTTTGTATTACTTTCCCTGGAACACTCTCTCACAGTCTGTTTCTAAAACCTAAAGAGAATTATGGATTTGATCAACTGGTCTCTGAATGCTATTGACACCCTTTTCTCAACGAGAAATCTGGGCTCTTGAGACCCCGAGTGCCCTGGAGGGACTTTCCCTGCCGGATACACGATGGACGGGTGGCAGAAATGGAGGGTCGTGAGCCTGGCGGGACTGTCGATCGAGGACGCTGAAGATATCTACCTATTCGGAACCATGATAACAGGGTTCTTGCTGATCGGAGCTGGCTTGGCCCTGGCTTATCGGAGAATTAAGAAAGCGGAACCGGCTGTTCAAATCCCCCCAAGGCTGCCCGCTGGGATTGAATACTCAGAATAACACCTCTGAGTATATATTGGGTTACATCAAGGAGAGGCCTGCTCAGAATAACACGTTTGAGCGAAAGTTGGATTACATCGTGGAACAGCTGACTGCAGTCGTGAGTTCTCAGAATCTGCTCTCTGAGCAAAAGAATGACAACAGCACAGTACGCAAGTTTGATACCATCATGGGGAAGCTCACGGTTCTCCAACGGGAGATTGAGAGACCAGTGTCGGAGTGTTAAAGAACAGCTTTGAAATTCTCATGAGTTGTTGCAAAAGAAAAATTACCATCATAATCTGGCTACCCCTTCGGCGGCAGCTGTGGGCTCAAGGCTGGAGCCGAACAAAAACTCCCTGATAACGACTGTGTTGAGACTGTTCCTTCCCATTCCCTACAAGGCCACCTGGGTTGGCTGGAAGACTGTTTACTTAGCCTGGCAGGGCGAAGGACACTGTCTCAGCTGAACTATGGACACACACACACACACATACACTGATAAGCACTCACTGATGCATCACCCTCCCTACTCCGGATCCAACGCCACCTCCAACACTTACCTCCCCTCTGATGTGGACATCGGGTCAGCTGGAGGCGCAGTCGAAGATTGCAGCGGTCCCAGATCAGATGTACATACTGGAACACTTTCCCATGTTGCTTGTCTGTGTTTATTGTGCTATGGTGTGTTGATATCTGTGCATTCCTGTATTATCCTTTTGTGTTACACATTTCGATGTTCTTTTTCCTCGCTACCTAGCCTGACATCTCCCCAATGTGATGTTTTTGTATTATATGTACGGTCGGCAAGGTCTGTCATCTCGGTTGTGGGCAAAAGACCTGCAACTAACAAATAAAGGCTTTCTCATCTCATAAAAACAGACCATATGGAAGATAAGACATAACAAAACATTTAAGGTGATGGCTGGAAAAGCGACAACATAAAAATGATAAAGTGGGACAAGGTAAACGAGTACTTGAAAGGAGAAGACAAAAGGACACAATACAACACAGGAAAATATGTGCCAAAACAAAACACCTCAGGTCCAACCAAACTAATAAGGGACAGGATAAAATGAGACCAGAAGAACAAGAAGGGACAATTGGGACAAGACATGCCATGTCAAGAAGAAATGAGAATAGACAAGAAGAAATAAGGAGCTTAATGTTTTCATTGAGCATTTTGAAACCCGATGTCACAAGCACAGAGACTGAGTCTACTTTGAGACTTGTCAATCTCAAAGTGGGTCACAGAGCATGCAATGCTTTGTCATCACTGTAGACACTAATGGGGGCCATAATTTAGAAACTAAACATGATGTTGTATTCAAGAAGATTTGAAGTTATTTGAAACTATTGATTAAGGCCATAAAATCTATAGAAAAATGTTTACTGAGACAAAGAAGCTGAAGGCTGTTTTCACAAAGCCTTCTTTTTGGTGACTGGGAGGTTTAAAACACTTCTGGCAGGCTACATTTTCAAACCTAGAACTAACATCCGTATTTAAATACAATGTATACACAAGACAGAACAAGGTAAAATGGGATATAAGAGAGACGTTAACAATAAAAACAAACAAAAATAATAATATAATAATAATATTTTCATCTCGAATCCAAGCATTGTGTTTCTTTTTTTTTTTCAGGGTTTAAAAGCAATGGACTCAAATGGACTTGCAGACCCATATGTTAAGCTGCACCTATTACCTGGAGCCAGTAAGGTATTTACATGCTTACTTATTTATTTTACTCATTTAAGAAGTAGGATTTTAAAAACAACAAGCTAATCTTTATGTACAAATAAATATGGCAGAATTGCCAGGAAAATGTTGCCTATATACAGGGTAGGAAGTAATTATTTGATTCCCTGCTGAATTTGTACGTTTTGCAGAATTCAACCCCCCACCCCACCCCACCCCAATAATTCTGGCTCCCACAGATTTGCTGTGTACCTGTGTGGCTCTCAGATTACAGTCAATCAGTTAATCATTTTTTAGATATTCCTGATCTCAATTCAGGGCTCGCAAAATCGCTAGCCCGACGTCCCGGGGCTAGCGATTTCTCCAGTCGGGCTACCAAAATCTATCTCTGCCCTGCCCGT